GTTATAAATATATATGAAACAAATGAGCAACGCTGTCACCCGTGTACTGACTGGAACTCGTGAACACACAGTCAACTATTATAGCACGATCACTTGACAGAGGAAATTACAAAAAAAAAAAAATTGTACAGTACATTAATCATGAAATAATCACATGTAATGACGTATTTATAGCCCATTTACCTCCATAGCTGATGGTAAGTCATTGTGGAACTTGTTACGACAGTTCAGTGCAACATAGTCGAATTGTTCACAGGCATAGATATGATTATTTATGCTGGCTTAGCCAAATTAGTTACTAGTTACTTGACCAAATTAGTTCTCCAGACTAGTTATTAGTTACTTATTCTATATATACTGTGAATCTGTTGGGTGTCAACTTGAAATAAGGATAATGTTTTTTCAAAAGCATTTCTCGTACCACATCCCATCCACAAATGTGGCAATTCAGACAAGTACTAGTACTTCCTCGCATACATGTAGTAAATAAATAAATGCTGTTTTGATCGGTATAAATACTATATAGTAGCTAATATTTGAGAATCGTTTTCTAAGTAACTATTCAAAGCTAGACGTTTAGAGCAATGGCCCAAGTTACCGCATAGAAGGCTTAAAACAAATGCTCATATTAAGATAATTGGGTAATGTGTGGGACAGTCAGGACGTGCCTGATGTAAATAAATTTGTAAAACTTTTTTTTTGAACTTTAAATGCTATTCCTACGTCGATAAGGTGGCACAGCAATTGAAATGTGTAGGGAGTCGTCACCTACGCATGCGACAGACGGCCATGGCGTGTCGTTGTCGCTCACAAACCTTTTAGATCAGAACAATCCGATCAATAAAGTTTGAGGAAAGTGTTATCATTAAAAAAAATCTCTGACATAGTGCTTGTAAGAAAACGCACGTCCGGTACGAATTCATTTAATTACATTCATAGTTTTGTGTGCGGAAAGATTTTAGAATTTAGAGATAAAAACAAAAAATATGAATACACTAATTGGAAAATATATAAGATGTGGGTGACTACGATATTTTGTTTCTTTCTACAGTATTTGGTAATGCACGTTGATATAATTTCGCTAAAATAATTACAATAAATAACTACGCAATACACCTTTATATACTATAATCGCGCCCTCTATCGACACCACCTTCAATACGAGAGGGCGCGACTTAGAGCAACAGTATATTGCACTTGTATTTATAGTACGTACCCGTAATTCACAGCAGACATTCATTTGTGCAGCCTAGGAACATACAGTAAGCATTAATTATCAACGACTCTTTAAAGATTTGCATAATATAACCCAGTCCGCAACATACTAATACGTGTAAAGTATCGTATATGCACAAATTTGAAAAATAAATACACAACATATTCCAGTATCTGACACAAGGTGAATCACGGTAAATATTGGTATCACCTCCAAAATTAGCCCTGGGCCATCTTCTCAATTAAACATCAGCACATCGGTCACTGATTAGAGGTCAAACATTTGAAAACATGGTGGATGGCTGGATGAGTGTCACAGTGTATTTTTTTGAGTTGTCTTATCTTTACATTTTTAATTTTTTTGAATATGTCAAAATCTTACCCCTGCAAAACATTTGATTCATTTTTTCCTCTGTGTCTAGCTTACAGTTTTTTTAAACAAATCTTCCGGTCACTCCCCATGATTTCAAATAGTTTGTTATATAGGGTATCGACCACACACCCAGACCACTGTTTTAGTGGCCATGCTGCTTTGTTTCAAATTGTAATAAGAGTACCTTACGAGGTACAGTTGTAATCTATACATGTTCTTCCATTGTCATATTTGCAACACAACTTGGTCGGTGAGAGTTAGTGCGCCCTCAACGACTTACTCACTCAGACATAAACTTAGAATCTGTCAGCGAGGGCGCAGTGACCCAGAAACAGAACACATCGGTTTTACCTTCGTATGCGTTATCTTGAGATATACAAAGCATATGAAAAAAAAAAATCAGAGAATTTCAAAAATTCATTTTTCTTTCAATTGCGGTATATTGGATATTTATTAGTCTCTTTCATAGTTAAATTTAGAAGTAAAATTGACAATAAAATATTCCAGATTATTCAGATGTTCTCATATTAGTCATATCACCTAATATGTAATTTATTTATCAGGGCTGGGAACATATCAGTCTTGACTGCA